GTGTGTGTGTGTGTGTGTGTGTGTGTGTGTGTGTGTGTGTGTGTGTCTGTGTGTGTGTGTGTGTGTGCCACCTGGTAAATGGTGTCCTTTCGGACTGCAAGGCTATTACCACAGCCTCCTAAATCTGAACTGCCGTATGAAATCCCCCTGACAAATTTAAGACCCCATTACCTCAAACCCCCCAAACTACTATCAGGGATTGATGATGTGTAAGTACCTGTGTGTGTACTTGTGTTTGTGTGTTTTTGTTACATGTTTGATGGTATTTTTAGGTGACGCTGGGATGACTTTGTTGTGGTTTTACATGTGTGTGTGTGTGTGTGTGTGTGTGTGTCAGGACCCATGCAGGAGACGGTCAGGGACTTCTGGAGGATGGTGTGGCAGGAAAACTCCGCCTCCATCGTCATGGTGACAAATCTGGTGGAAGTGGGACGAGTGAGTTTTTAATCTATTATTTAAAGGGCCTGTGGCATCAGGTTTTTGTGATAAATAAGGATGCATTGTTGGAAAGTTAACATCAATAATATATTGCAAAAGAGGTTTTACGACACTGAGATGAACAGTTGCTGAGATATTATCATGTGAAGTAACAGGAAGTGATGTCAAAGGGGAATGTCCGCACGGACACAGAGCAGTGTTACAACATCCGACACCTCGGACTGTAAAAAAGAATCTGATTTGTTAAATTATTTTGAGTCTATCAGAGAGATAAAGAAGAGTCAGAGTTTAAATAATATGTTGTAATAAACAAAGACCAGGAAGTTACTTTTGGTAAAGAGTTCCCCTTTGATGTCACTTCCTGTTTCACTATAGCTGAGCCAAGTTCAAAAGAAAATAAGCCACTTATGTGATAAAACGGATTCAAACGTGTGTTTTATGTCAAGTTTCTTAAATATAAAGTTGTTTTCTTTGATTTTTTTGTATTTGAGGAATGTTTTCGGCACTTTAATGAGAATTGTTCTGTTTTTAGGTGAAGTGTGTTCGTTATTGGCCCGATGAGACAGAGGTGTACGGAGACATCAAGGTGACCCTGATAGAAACCGAACCTCTGGCTGAGTACGTCATCCGGACCTTTACCGTCCAAAAGGTAAAGAACTTCCTGTTTATGAACCAGGTGTTGTTCATGAACATCCTCTTTCCTCTTAGTACCACAGCCATGCAGCTGAAGACTTGTTCTGTGTATTTATAGTGAATAAATCATGGTTTGGTATCAATATGTTGTGACCTTGGTGGACAGACTGCAGTGGTGGTCACCAGCCCCCTAAAGTGCAAATCCGCTAATTGCGGACCTAAATATTTCGTTTGCACTTTAATGGTCTTACTAATTTTTATAATTAATAAACAGATTTGCGCTTTCTAAAATTAAAATGCAGTACCACTAATAACTAATTATCTACCAGTCATCATTATCTTAAACAGTGGAAGGTATGACTGTCAATGAATCACAACACGTGATCTATCCAACAGCACCCCTCCCAGATAAACACACTTATTGTGAAGGTATACATCCTGCTGACTGTTGCTTTGGGTCACGGTTCTGATTTCCCACAATGCTTTGTGTCTGCTTACATAGCAGGAAGGTAATAGCAAAAACAGTTAATGTTTGTAATCCATACTAAAATTTTGTATGTATTGATTTATTTTACTTTACAATCGGAGCTACTTTTTTAAAGAAAATAAAGTTTAAACACTGGAGCTCAATACTTGACGTAATTGGTCGAAGCAACAGGGTTAGAGACACAGAAATGATTTAAAGATGTTATGCTGATGAAGACTGACATCTAGTGGTCAACTGGAGCAACTACATGGAAAACTTTAAAATCCATGCTTTTATTTTGAAGTGAAGAGTTTCCTGTACTCCGTGCTTTTGTTTCCCATCACAAATCAAATCTGTCATGTACCCAGAATGCATC